AGGAAGAGAGGAGCCGCGTGGCGGAGGGCAGTCGGAGCTGCTCCTGCGCTTCACCTGTTTCCTAGAGAGATACCGGAGCGCCAAGTTCAGCCTGGCGGCTCACCTGCTCTGCTGGGCTCTGCTCAGATGGTACCAGGTGAGATTCTTTCCTCACACGTTTGGCCGTGAAATTTTAAATAGTGTTGACACGAGGTGAAGGCAAATTAAAAAATGTTGGTCTTCTAATCTTTTGGAGTGTAATCTGAGCTATCACAAGTAGGACAGAGTTGATTTAAAACCTGGGAGGGACCAGAATCCTCCTCAGTCTCATATGCACCAAACTGATCCATGAGGTCATGTAAGACTTTCTCAGCACCCACCCAACACACACGCGCGCGCACAAAGACTTATACCTATAAATGTATAAATATTAAGAAAATAATCAGACAAAGCACTTTATCTTGTTCCATTCAACTTAGTTTTTCTGTTCATCTCCTTTTAAGATGTTTTCTAAACTCCCCCACAACTACATCCACAAAAAGTTTCAACGTGGAACAATGAATTGCTCTCTGTTAGAACAAAAAACAAACAAACAAACAATTTAAGAGGAAGCACCCCCAAATTACAAAGAAAGTCCTACTTCGTATTCTCAATTAAAAATCCAATAGCAAAACCAGGAAGAGATTTATAGTAGGATCAATTATATTATTGTTATAAATTAGAACTGCCACAGTGTATAACATCAGTATATAATTAGAGCCTTCCCACATCCGAGTTACACTGAGAGCAGTAGATTTCAAAGAGACTGTTTGGAAGACCTGAGCAGCTCTTGGCAGGAGCGCAATAGATTACAATAACAGATTCGGACCCTTCTCTTAGTTCATTTATAAACCACTAACAGAAGCTAGTAGTCCCAGACAGGCTTCAACTAGTGCACAGATTTTCTCCTAGACAATATTCTGAACACCACATACTCTGTGTTCTCAGTAAGGAAAATACAGACCAGGCAGTTAGAAAAATGGGCTCAGCTACAGCTCATAAATCCTAAGGAAATCCAGGCATACTCCCCAAAACAAAAAGAGGGTAACTGGATAATAAAGCAAAAAAGCATCCAACTGAAAATGTACACACTGACATCCACAGGACAACAACTAGTGATGCATCCAGAGCTGAATTAGCCCAACTTCTACTCTTAATAAACTCCATAATCAAGCAATGAAATATTGGCTTACTCTAAAACTAAATGATCCCCGCTCTCACCACCTCACAGCCCTGCAGTGCCAAATGATAACGCAACAAAAACAAAATTACCTTGCTTACTGGCACACAGAATCATACACGCAAAGCAAAATGCATTGTATCTGTCCCTAAAAAGATAGTCGACTGTGGCAACCTGAGAGCAATGTCTGACATGTTAACAAAGTACAGAGTGAGCGCTTACAGCCTGGCTGTTGAAACAAGTGGATGAACCTGTAAGAAAACTACTGCCAAAAGAGGAGCAACTGTGCCAACAGTGTAGAGGAAGTGCTGCAGTGAAGTGAAGACAGTCAGTCAGTGGCCAACATTTACATTTATCTGGGAATTGTTCGTCCCAAAGACCAGGAATAATCTTTAACAGTTTATGTCTGCTCAGATAATAAAACATTACAAATTACACTGTGGAAAATAAAAGAGAGTTGTGTTCGGTTAGAAACGTTTGTCTCGGCCTGCCACATCATGAGAGGATCAGAGTACATCAGGCCTCGCTTTTTGGGATAGTGCTATAGCAAGAGTGAAGAAACAAAGCTGCTCAGCTGTTATAATCATTTTCTAAATACCTTACATTCTACCTTTTTTTTTTACAACTTCTGAATGTTTTGTAAATTAATGTCGGTATTGACAGTGCTTTGCTACCACTGTGCCTGAACATAGTCATGTCAATAAAGTCACATGAATTTAAAATAAAAACAGAAATTTGAGAGGGACAAAACGAGAGACACAGGTTCATGACTGCAGCTGTGTAATATATGACATCTAAAACGAGTGTTCATGTAGCTAAATATGTTTAAAAAAACGTGTAACGAATCACAGTTATTCATCTGGCACAGTATGATATATCAAATGCAGTAAGAGGGGCAAAAAGTAAGAGAGAGAGCAAAAACTTGCTGAGGGGTTGGCATTGTGACACCTGGTGGCAGAAATGAGAACTGCATGTTGGATTTTCTGAAGCTGGTGCAGATTTTAAAATTGCTGCATTCCTATTGTAATAACATAGCTCATAGGGAAAGTGAGACATTGAATGGCTGTTTTTTGTTATATTTCAGATTTTTTAAAACTATATAAGTTTTCTGTGTAGTTTTGAAACCACACAAAGAGAATTTAGAAAAACATATGGAGTCACTGTGTATGCCACAGTGGTCCACCCACAACTCAGAACTCATTTGTTTATTTCCATAAAGAGTGAATAAATATTGATCCTTCCAGACCAGAGTCATGAAAAGATTAGCTGCTAAGATCTTTGTCAGATGTTTGGAAAAGTTAACCAGGCTCAGACCAGTATGGAGTGGCATATCTGGGTTTCACATTAAACACAAGATCACTGGAGGTGATTGTTAGTCATTTTTAATGTTGTTTGCACAACATAACTTGTGCTAGCTAATTATTAACTTGTGCATCAGTTTACTGTCTTGTCTGCACAAAGTTCCTATTGTGCATACATTTTGCTGCACATACTTTATCTTCTAGATCAGAATTGTTTTTAAAAATATAAAATGCATATCTTTGGGCTTTCTGGGGCTCAGTAATATTGATACGTTCGGTAAATGGTCTTAGACTTGTATAGTGGTTTTCTATGCATTGCCTATTCACCCATTTGCACTCCAAAACACGCACATAAAAAGCCTGACCAGCAATTTTACTTGGTCCAAGCAAAACCACTGGATGGCCTACCTGCCTGTCAATCTTACCTCGTACTTGTGCGCACTCATTGTGTGAGCCAAGCGTCTCTTAAAAGGCACTGAAGGCAGTCCTGTTACTGCTCTGTTCTGATAGCTAAAGCTAGGGAGCTATGGCAGAGAAGGTATCCACAGCAGCTTTGGATCACAAACAGAGATTGTATTTGAGTTACAACTAAAAAGAAGATGGATGTCGCAAGAAGTAAAACCAGAATGAACATTGGTGTGGCTTTTGAATGATGGAACAATAGAGAGAATGATAGGGGGTTAAAAAGTGTTTATGTTTTTGCTGGTGCTTGTTGGTTTGCTAACAACATAACTCAAAAACTAACTAATGGATTTCGATGAGATTTTTTTGGAGACATAAGGCATGGCCCACTGAACAACTGATAAGAATTTGGTGCTGATCTGTTTCATAATTTGGATACAGGAATACTTTAAAATATGATTAACCATTGTGAGCCCTGGAAAGGCTGCTGATTGTGTGTGAGCCCCCTTGTGGCGCTGCTAAGCACTACGAGCACATACACAGTTGGGGGAAGATCTACTCTGTGCAGTGACAGCCAGGCGAGAACCTGATGGCAGAGATTTTGAGCCGGGTTCAAAGGTGTTAGCATTTTCATCTGTAGGACTCATATTATGCCATTTTATTAAGTTTTGACATTTTTTCAGGCAACAAAGTAACCAGTTAGATTGAAAATATGTGGTCAGTCTGTCCAAGTAATGCCAATTTATAAATTTGTTCTACTTGTTTTTTTTTTTTATTTATTCAGAGGTGTTCCTAATATTCTGACCCTCTTATATATGTAGCTGAAGAGGACAAAAATATAGACATGCCTCTGAATGTAATGTACTGTAGTCCAGTACAACACTGCCTATAACTATTAATTAATCTCATTTATAAATATGTAAATGAATGTATACATGACAATGACAATGACAATTTCACCAATAACCGAAGCATTTTGAGCTTCATAAACGCAGATGTTAAGGTGGAAGTGTTGCATTGAAGTGCATACAATTGTACAGGTGTACCAAATAAAGTGCCCTGTGAGTGTCAATAGACAGAGGAGAAGTTGTGTTTGCTGCAGAAGTGGTTTGAAAAGTATTTATGGGTGTTAAGACTCTTATTTACTGTGAAAGCAGGTCACCGTTGGAATTCACCGTAACTGCTGTGATTCCAAAGCGACAACAGGATTTGATATACAAAGCATCAGTCCATTGTTTCTTCAAGATTAATGCTCTAAATGTCTCATAAAAATGTAGTCTTCACTGTGCTATTTTAATTTTTCTCTTCACAGAAACTCAGATTCCAGCCTGCTCCTCTACAGGTAAGAAGACCATAGAAAATATTTATTTTTAACTTCTTTTAGACCGGATTGTGCCCACCTTATTTTTTGATCAATTGTACATGTATCTAACAGCACTCACTGTAGAAACTAGAAACTGTAGAAACAGTTTGAATGTATGAGTTGTAGTTATTTTATTGAAGATTTTGTATATTGTTGTATGGTTGTAGAACATCTGTAATGTTTATGTTGTTGTATTGCCAGGGATTCCCACAATGGGAATATTTATTGACCTAAAAGAAGCATTTGACACAATCAATCATGAGTTATTAATGGATAAGTTAGAAAAATATGGGATCAGAGGAATGGTTTTGAATTGGATTAGAAGTTATTTGACACAGAAGCATCAATTTGTGAAGTTGGGTGAATACCAATCGAGTGAGCTGGATATTGTATGTGGAGTGCCTCAGGGTTCTGTTTTGGGACCTAAATTATTTATATTATACATTAATGATATATGCAAGGTTTCTGATTTAGTGAAAGTGGTTTTGTTTGCTGATGACACTACCATATGGGCATCGGGTGAAAACCTACAACAACTCTGACATAAAAAATAGTAATAGAATTGACGAGTTTAAACATAAATATAAAGGTATGTGTCAATCAAGATATATGCAAGAACAGGCTTAATGATTAACCAGATGGAACATTGTGGGTGTGGTGTATGAATGTTAATACTCTGTAATAATTCTTTAATATATTACTTGTGTGGTGGAGAAGATAATTATTTAAGAATGTAATTATGTAAGAATGTTAACACTGTTATAATTTTTTTGTATATTACTTGTGTGGTGTAGAAGAGAATTATTCACTGCTTGCAAACCAATGATGGTAAGATGATGTCAGGGGGTAGAACTGGATAAGTCTGACTTCTTCCTACTCCATTCAAGCATGTACTAGGTATAAGCAAATTGATATTGGATTAGCATTTATTAGCATTTGTTGGATATGTGTAAAATTATGTGTGTTGTCATATCAACTGTCTTTACATGCTTGAAAGAATAAATCAAATCAAATCAAAATCAAATCAATCCCTTGCAAAAGTGGTTGTAAACCTCAATGAGATTTCTCAATCTGTTGACAGCCGGTGGGCAGTTTATAGTAAGTTTCATTCCCCTACTGTCTGAAACATGTTAATGTTTTCAGTATTGTCCCAGTAAAAATAGGCTTTGAATGTAACTTGATATGGTCTCACAGTTCTGTTATTATTGGAGCTTTGAGCTGTTATACTATCAGGTTTAACCAGCCACATCTGCTGTCACTGAATTCTTGTGGGGTGTCAGTTGAACATATGAGATAGCCCAGTCACTGTTGTGTGTTTAGTTGGAATGATGATGTGCCGATGCTTTTTTGGTGACTTTGAGCATGGAAAAAAATGAATCAGCATTGTAAAATATCAAACTCTGTTAGCTGACAACAGTGTTGTCCAACAGGTTTATTATTCTGAAAACATTCTACTACTTTGACAGTGGGGCATACTGAATGTAATCACCTCCGTCTTTATCTTAATCGCCTGTTAAATCACACTCAGGCTATTAATCAGATTCTGAATCAGCTTTACTGGCCAAGTGTGTTGAACACACAAGAAATTTGACTGTGGTACAGTAGCTCTCAATGTGCTTTAGTAAGACAACAACAAATGTCTGAATTCAGATAGGAAACAAAATAAAAGACAAAACAATCTGTTATAGATATATTTATATATCATTGTATACATATATCAGATAAAAATATATATTTACAAGCTATTGCACCGGTGGTGTTTGCTGTGAACCTGTTATATAGGCATATTTGGATTAATGTCCGAGTGTCTGGTTGTTTTGGCGTACAGTGATCTGTAGGACTGTCCAGAGGGGACAAGTTCAAACAGTTTGTGTCCGGGATGTGAGGGGTCTGCAGAAATCTGGGTGTGTTGATTTCCCACAGTTATTTTTCTTTTCTCTTCCTTTTTTTTTTTTTTTTTTTTTTTTACTGAGAACCCGTGCTTGTAGTTAAAAATAGTTTGGTCAGGAAAAAACTGAAACCTAGCAACTGTGCTTCTGATCCAGAAGTCTGCACAAAAGGGCCGTTTTCTTCTGGCAGCTGTATGTCTTCTTTTCACTGACAGTTGTTCACAATGTTGTTGTCAGTGTATTTGTGTTTGAAGGCATCTTAAATGGCTTTGGGCATTTAGTGGTTCCAACTGCCACCATCTCTATGGGTCATTTTAATAGGCATGTAGGAGCATAGTGTGGGTCTCTGTGTGTTTCAGTCTGCGTGTCGACAGCAAATTAGAGCAGATTGTTAGTAACAGGGTAAGTGAGGGAACTATGGTTTTCTTAAGAGAATCAACTCATGTTCCCATCTTGCAGCTTAGCTAGCAAGCTTTTATTTTATTGTTGTTATTAAAACCATTGTTGCATAAAATTGATCTGTGTCATTTAATTTGGAATTAAATAAAATATCACACAGATTGTATTATATTACATTACAGTGTACAGGGGCTTGAATTTTTTGGTCATTGTGAAGCCACAGAGGACCGTCTGCTATCATGTTTGTACGCTCATCCAGCACATCTGTGACATCACTTGTTTTATGTGTGTGAGTTGGAGATTTTGAGTACGACTGGGTTACTTTGATCCACCTCTAACCCAGAGTCTTCCAGCAAAGAAAGAGCCAAAGAAAGTATTTCTCACAAAGGACGATGAAACGAGCCATAGGGAGCATAATGACTGACTGACCGCTTTTCTTTTTCTGGACCTGTGGCTTTCTCTGCCTGGTCATTAGCCTTCACTGGTCCTCCAGGCCCAGCAAAACAGCTCTGTTTATGTGTGTGTGCGCAGGTCTGGTGAAACTGTGGGGACCGAAGCTTGCTTACACGCTCACATTGGGGACTCGACCGTCCTCATGGGGTAGGACCAATGCTGGTCCTCACCAAGTGTGTTATTGAATTTAAGGTGACGATTTGGTTTAAAGTTAGAGTAGGGTTAGGGTTGGGGTCGGTTGGGGTCAGTGTTCAGGAAATTAATGTAAAGTCCCTATGAGGAATGAAAACAAACATATGAGTGTGCTAGTGTGTGTGTGTGTGTACAGTATGCATGTTTTGAAGTGAAACATGATAGGATGGCACAACTAATAACACAGCCACCATGTCCTCCTGTGATGTCAGTCATACACACAATCACATCATCTCATATCATCAAATAAATCACCAAGCATTTTACACAGTGAATACCAGAAACCTTTGTTTCTGTGTGAATTGATAATTTCATAGAACTCTGTTGAGCGTTAACACATTTACATGTGTTTGTGGATCTAAATGAATATGCAAAAGATGCCCCACTGTATGTCCTGTATGTTAATGAACCATGAGAAATTTCAGATTCTTTTTCAATTACTCAAATAATTGTTTGGTCCATGAAATGTAAAAGAAGAAAACAGTTGGCAGTTCTTTTTTCTGTTAACCAACATAGTGATTAATTGACTAATGATTTGACATTTACAGTATGACAGACCCAAATCATCACTGGAACAACTGGAATCCATAACCAAAATGCATAAGGGAGCGAGCCTTGTTCTTTGAGCAGCTACATCCTGCATGAACTCAGGTATAAAATGTTTTTTAAAAAGCTTGTTGTTATTAAGCATGCTCAGATGTCTCCCTTCAAAGGGAGAAGCTTTAACAGAACTCCTCTGGAGGATGGCTAGGACTTCACGTGCTAAGAAAGTTGATAGATAGTTGATTTTAGTCCTAGGCCTAAAAGTAGGACCACATATACACCATTCTGACAATTTTGGCTCAATATTACAACTGATTTCCTACTCTGAGATGCTTGAAAACACAGATCAAGATCCTGCTGATGGACCCAAATGAAGGGTTCTGGTGGTACATTCTCAGCCTCATTAAAATGCTAAGCTTTGGAGAACTGATTTGCATATGGGTCCCTCTCATCAATAATTCATTTCTCGAAAACAAAGCAGTGTTAAGTGGCCACTTGCGGAGAACGGAAGGATGGAGAAAAGTGTATGTGGGTGGATATCGGGGTGGGAGTGGAGGTCTGCACAAGCACTGGCACTCTGAGGTTCACAGTGTTGGCATGGACGTCTGCAGCCCTTGTTATGCTAATGGAGGGAGTAGATGCATGATGATTTTCTCCTGTAACTGTTGGTTACCCAGGAAATATGGAGGGCCCACTGTCTTTCACTTACTGGTGAGAAAACTGGCCAGAGCCTTGTGTTATCCTTGTTCTCTTTGGATTTAATATGCACTGAATACAACATTTAGGTTTTCTACTTGTATCTGCAGTCAGCACTGAGGTATTTAACCATATTATCTGAAATGTTTGGTGCCAGTGCCAAACCCATACCTGAGTTTCGATACCCCATACCTAAACAATACATTTTTTTTAACTAAAGAGACCTCTCATGCTCGCCCTCTGGCCTCCACACTCTTATTTATTTAGTCCTCTTGGCTCCCAATGGGACATAAGGCAGCAACTTTTGTCTCTATTATGCAGCGTGCTGTCTCTCATCCCATGTCAAGCTCATCTCTTTCATCTCTTTCAACTCAGCTGTCACTGTTCATCCCCACCTTATCTCCTTTTCCAGGTGGTGTCCGTCATAGAGCAGTCTTTGAGATACAGTCCTGGTCTATTCTGAGGCCATGCCCAAACCATCGGATGTGGTGATGGTTGATTTCCAGCACCATGCTTTTTCTCTTCTTTTCTTGTATAGTTTTTCATTGGAGAGCTTTTCAGAATCAGAAGATGTGACATCCCGAGGGACCCATTGTGGAAGGCAGTGACCTTGTTCATGTCACCTTATATTTCTCACCAGCATTTTAGTACCACACAGCAGACCTGGTTTGACATTTCTGTTGTACAGTTCGACCTGTGATTCTGTACTGCTTCAACTTCCATATCGACTTAAGCCTTGCAAAGCACTGCAACCTTTGCCAAGGCTTTTTTTTTCATGTTCTTTTGTGCTGCATTGTTCTTACTGACAAGACTACCCAGGTGGGTGAATTTCTCAAAGTCATGTGGCTCACCATTTGCCGTAAGTGGTGCATCTGGAGTGGAATCGATACACAAAACCTCGGTCTCGGAGGCACCGGTGTTCTGGCAACGACAAACAGGAGTAAAACATGATATACTGCTGATCTCTATACTTTGCTATACTTTTACTTCATCCATAGTTGTAGTTTCTGCATTTCTTTCTTGTCTTCAGTGTTGTGTATTTTGTTATCAGGACTTTGACCTATTATTCCCACTAACTCTTTCTGCAAACACAGAAACAGTTGTTGATGAGCACAACTCAGAACTCTTCAAATTGCTAAATAAGTATGTGCAGAAAAGCAGAAAAGTCTGATGAGCTTGTTAGGAATTCACGGGATTGCAAGGAAAATGCTGGTGAGCATGGTGAACTGGCTTTACCTGCACTGGGAAGCATGCAGGTAAAACGCTGACTTGCGTGACCGAAGACAGAAGAAGCCAGATAGGTGACAGATGAGCAGAGCAAGGTGGCAGCACACTGCAAGGATCTGGATGCAGGAGAAGCAGGATTAACAGACAAAGATACACTTCATGAGAGAATAAATCAGAGGTGTGAACATGACAATCTACTGCGCTAGTAGAAGAAAGGATCTGGTTGAGAGGTGAAGCTACTGTATATATACTGTTGGAGCTGATTAGTGGATGAGCTGTAGATGTGTCAACTGCCGTGCTGCTTGGTAACCAGAGGGTGAGGAGCCTTGCTCATGTTACAGCCACTACAACAGGAAGAGAGAGAGAGACAGCTGGAGAGGCAAAGGTGTGCCATACACAGGGGAAATGGCACAAAGGAAAAACACAAGATAGTGATAAAACATAACAGTTACAGCAGAACATTCATGGTCATGTATATCCATAGGCCACTGTCACTGACAGGTATTGTCAGTGCCATGAAAAACAAAGTATAGCATGGTCCTGTGGGCCTCACAGCTTGAATACGTGCAGCAGCAATAGTGCAATGAAGCTGGATCTATAACGGCATGTGCTGACAGCCTCTGAGTTTTGTACAGGGCTTTAACATGTGAATTGTTACCACGTGGGGTTTCAGATGACCCTTGTTTGGGAGCGGACCTCAGCTCCTTCAGAAAGTAGTTAAGAGGAGGGCAGCTGATACTCTATGTAAGCAGGGTTTTCTCTAGAGTAGGTTAAGTATAGGCCAGTACTGCAGTGATGTTCAGTGTCAGTATGTACAGGAAACATCATGAAGTGGTTTTGTCATTGTTTGTATGAGTAATAATATCTACACGTACACAAAGAACTCTGTTTGTCTCATGTCAGTCATACTGATCTGTTCTTTCCCATATTTACCCAGAGATTAACTTCCATATCTTGAATTTCTTGTTTAGCTCAGGCACAACTTTATCTGCCACAGATTGATGTTATTATTCTGTCAGGATACATGAAACCTTTACACTGTTATTCCTTATCGAGTTTACAACAAGCCCCTCATCCCATCTGTTTCTTTCTCACAGGAAACAAAGCATTATTGCACAAGCTTGTTGTTGGTTGGTTGGTTGGTTTCCAGTGGAGGTTAAGATGTTTTGGCAGGCACAGGGCAGGCAAAGCTTTAAGCCTATTTTGTCCTAATTGTGTGCCTGGTATTTGCTCATACAGAAACTAACACTTAGCTCTAATACACAGTATGAAAAACCAGACCACCCCATTGTTCTCGTCGGGATTGGCGCATAAAGCTGCCGATGATGTCAAAGGTGAACTCGATTAAATTGCCAGACGAGGTTGGGCAAAAACACTGTCTTTTTACTGAGCACAGTACGATGCAGTAGTCTAAGAAACACAATCAAAGTCGATAGTAACAGTACAGGGTCAGTGCTGGCAAACTCACACAGCCAAGGGATCCACAAATGAGAGGTCAATACACATATGACAGTCAGAAGCAGGAGGACAAAACAGTACTCGGTGGTCAAAAGCAGTCCGGGGTCAAAAACAGGAATCACAGATACAAGAATAATGCTGGAAAGTCTGAACAGAAGTTAGAACAATCTGGCAGCTTCCTGGTAGGGGAAAGCTGCCTATAATGAAAACAGGTGTAAACAATAACCGCTGATTAAAGTAAAAAGTCCGAAACTGAGGTGAAACTGAAACAGGAAGCAATGTCAAAATAAAAGCATCGGAACGGAAGAATCATGACAGTTGTCTCCTATAAAGACTTTTCTTTCAAGTGATGATTTCTGTGATGACTGTTGTTGAACATCACAATCAACTCCAAGGCATGATAATTAACAAGCATCCGAAGAAACATTATTAGAAGAAACAATACTAGTGCTAATTCCTAAGTTTGATGGCATACACCAGGCAACTTTCTGATTTATTTAAAGATTCCACTTAATAATAATTGTTATTAGCAGCATAAACAAAATCTTGTGTTGACACCTAGGACATGCTGTATACCAAGAACAGTCACTCAAACCTCTTATTGACATAGAACTATGTTTAAAAAATACTGTACAGAATTAACACAATTATACTTTAAGTTAGAAAATGTGCTTGTACTATCAGTCTTTCAAATGACTTTTAAGAAAATATGCTTAATGACAGAAGGTGTGGGGCTGACTGTCCAATAAAGATTAGGCCATCATACTCACAAGCTGCTGGTTCAAGATAAGAAACAAAAATTGTGTAAAGTAGCAGTTAACCCTTTAGCAGTGGGTGGCACAGTGATGCAGTGGTTAGCACTGTCACCTCACAGCAAGAAGGTTCTTGGTTTGAACCTTGTGACCAGTCTGGGCCTTTTTGTGTGGAGTTTGCATGTGTTCTGCCCATGCTGGCACTGGTTTCCTCTGGTTACTCTGACCACAGGTTAATTGGAGACTCTAAATTGCCCGGATGTGAGTGTGAGTGATTGCCTGTTCTCTGTGTGTCTACCCTGTGACAGACTGGCGACTTTTCTAGGGTGTACCCCACTTGTTGCCCAGTGTCTGCTAGGAATGACTTCAGCCCTTCATGACCCTCTACATGATAAATGGCATAGATAAGGGATGGAGGGAAACATAATATTGTATATCTGTCTCATTAGTAAATGAAGCACATCACTCATCCCACCTTCAGCAGACATTTCCACAGCTGACTGACTCTTGACACATGCTGAATGTGTCTGAGCAGCCCAGTCCTCTTCCTTTGTGTCCGTCTTCTCTAATGTACAAGTATCTACATCAGACACCCTTGGCTCCTGAACAACAGCCGCGTTCTGCTCCCTTTGTATTTCTGACTTGCCGGAGGGAGCGTGGCCAGACCTCAGCAATTTATTTCAGGACTTCTGGGAAGAGAAATCTTTGCCTGCCAGAGAATAGCCTGAGTCATCACTGCAGCTAACCGGGGACTGCTGGTCTTATTTTAGGAATGCAAAAGATACCAACACAAATCAATCAATCAAAATCAGATAAGCTTCATTTCACTCAGGGTTCACCCTGTTTCTTTGTAAGAGGGCCTTCATCTGAACTGATTCTCCCACAGCACAAGTTGTTCACTGCTGGGAATCTTAATGTGTTTGCTTGTGATAGAGACTTAAAGACTGTTTAGATGTTCTGACAGTTCAGTCCTGCTGGGACACATTATAATTATTTATTTATTTGCATAGTCTCCTATTGCAAAGTATATTTAATCAATCAGAAAATAAATCTTATAAAAATGAAATCTCTCTAACATCATTGCACTTTTATGGTAATTGTAATTTTTACAGAAGGAACGCTGCTTCTATTGGTACTTAGTACTGGCAAGAACTAAAATGTCTTGTGACTACTTGCACTTGATTTTAAAAAAAACAGAGGTATCACTGCATCCCTAAAGCCTGCTTTTATAGATAAGACTTCTTTGTTTTAAGAACTACTACTGCTACTGTATACACATAAAACTCTATTCTCTGATTTCTTTAATGCAGAATATACAGCAGCCTGCTTCCTGTAGGCATAGTAAAGTCATCCGCCTACAGGGGCTCTGTTGGTTAAGTTGTGTTATGTAACACGTGCAA